GTGATACATGTCCCTTTGCTTCATGTCCAACCGCTAAAGGCGTTGTCATCGATGGCTGTCCCGTCTTCTAGCTCATCGGAGGAAAAGTATCATATAACAACAAGAGTGCTTTGTACAGTCTATGCAGTAAACTGATTGTTGTATTTCATAGAAATGTCTTTTAGTCTCCAAGAGAACACACAAATGCTAGTGATTCTGTTTGTCTCCTTATAAAGATTTGTATACTTTAGCAATTTGTTTCGTTTCTCAAAAGCTGCTATTATGTGGAAAGGATATAACAGGAACAGAGCGTAAACAAAATGGTAGAAGCAGGGCCTTGCACAGAAAGAAAGAATAATACATTGATATTGCATAAAAGTTAAACTTGTCTTTGAAACTAACATTCAACAATAATAGCCAAGAAAACTAAACAATGGACCTCTGGCATTCGAATCTAACACAGCTATGATCTTTTTGTTTGCAGTGTTGCATGCTATATACCTTATACCTTACAGTCGTTTTCTTTCTATCTGTCTCCATTACTGAATCCAGAATGTGCGTATGTATAAAGTTTATCCATCAAATGTTGAGGGGATCTTCCTCTGTGTTTCTTTCATTAAGCTGTGTCCATTCATTTGTCTCTGCAAAAAGAGAACAAGAGATTTACTGATTGTAAGTCTAAGACGTTGCTAAAGCAATAAGATATCTTCAAGCCAGATGGAGAGACCACATACTTGGCTTGTCAACAATCAGCATGAGCCGCCTTTGCAGGAGACTCGCAACAAAGAGGAAGATCGAGCACATGCCAAACATGACCGTGATTGGGAACGCATTCACCTTCATACCACATAAAACTAGTCAGTACCAAGACACTAACAGATCTATGGGACTAAAACTCCTAGCGACTAATAGTGCAGAAAAAGATTTTCCGGGGGGGGGGGCTTACATTGTACAAGACAACGCAGACAAAGATATTCAGAGGAATGCGGAAAAAGTTCATGATTGTGCTTCTGGCTTCTTCAGGGATGTATTGGGATCTCATCTTCATTATGGATGGCCAAAACAGTCCTACACACGCCTCAAATATACAGAACCCGAGGAGCTGAAAGCAACCTGAGAACGAGATTCCTCCACCTTTTACCTTTGTAGGTGCTATGAACAGCTGAGTCACACATCCAATTACAAACAATTAGTCACAGAATAGAAGTAAAGACAGCAGCAAGAAAGATACACAAGAAGCTTTTTTTCTTTTAACTTACAGTCATTAATATTGGAAGCAATAGTGAGGCAGCAGAAACTAGGAAGACAATCTGCATGTAACTTTCCACTTTGGGAGACGAGCGAGCCAACAGACGAGATGCAAGGGAACTGCCGAGCATCGAGGCCAGCATAAATGTTGCAAAAATGAAACCATGGGGAATCTCCTCATCGTTGGGGCTTAGAGCAGGAGTCCAGAGGAACACAAAAGTATACATAGATCCTTCAAAGAGCGACTGGATGGCACCCAACAGTGCAATCTTTTCATCTGATGAAACACAAACAAGTATTCTCAGTCATCAAACATGCTTCAAGGCTCAAGAGGGAAATGAGGACAATGAGAAAGCAGAAATAAGACAGGAAACTCCATCATAATAGATAGAGAGGCAAAATCCAGAAAGATTTTCAGCTCACCAGAGGCAATGGCCACTGCAGCACCTCTGAACTGGGTAAGCAAGTCCTTGCTCTCGGAAGGATCTCCATAGTTCTCTGACCAGGATGATAGAATGACAGCCATTCCAATAGCAAGAAAGCATGCTGCAGCGTCAAACGGCGCAACAGGGCCAAGAGAGAAGGAATGAACAAGCAAGTTCCCAAACAATCCAGCGATGATCGCAACAAGACCATTGCCGAAAAACACAGCCTTTGAAAATGTCACAGACAGCCATTGTTGCTCAAAGCCCCTCTGCATACATCACAAGAAAGAAAACACTTATGTTTAGCTATAAAAGTGGCATTTTTTCTTCTTCCGGATAATGACTAAAACCAGCAAAAACGTTGCTTTACCTTATTGTGCTCAGCGACTAGCCAAGATTCAAATGATGAAAACAGAAGAGAAGTAGCGATGCCTCCCAACACACGGCCTACCATCAAAACCTTATATTGAGGAGAATGTTTGGTGATGCAGCTCAATATGTACGTGATACAGTACGTCACACACGCCCTCTTACGACCCCTGATACATAACAGAACCACACCATTACTCAATTACAAAGAGTTGTTGAGGAATCCATTTACTTGAAAACTTAAAAGCATCAGAGAGAAAACTCACTGTTTGTCGGCTAGAGATCCAACGATGGTACCAAACAACATAGAGGAGCCAAAACCAGCGATGAAAAGCTGTCCAATCTCTCCTTTACTAAACCCATAAGTACTGTAAAGATAGTACACATATGGACCCTGCAGCCAGTCACCCGCTGCAATCACAAAAACAAACATTGAGCAAAAATATCAAACTCTTAACCTCTTTAATGTCACCAAGTTTCAAACTTTATTTTAGCAACAAACTCTTACTCAGTGTAGCAATTCAAATCCTTGAAAAAAATACGAAATTGATTCTGGCCGACACTAAATACTAGTTCAAATGTGATACCAAACTCTCTCTAGAACAAAAATTTGGCAAGAAATCAAGAGATGAACAATAAATGGATCTAAATCTCACATCAAAACTCACTAAATAACCTCTTCTCAACAACCAGATCGGATCGAAATATGCATTATATACACTTCTGTAGACATAATCAGGCAAAGATAAGAAGAAGAGTAACAAAGGAAGAGAAACGTATTCGTACCCATCATGAGCGAGTAGACGAGGAGATAATTGTTCTTGAAGGAATTGAAAGCTGAAGAAGTGTTGATCCGATCCTTGTTGTTCTTGCTAAGCTCCAACGCCGCGACGACGAGGCCCAGAACCCCGAAAACCAAGTAGTAGAACACCTCCATTGTCGTTCAATCCACAAACGAAAGAGGGAAAAAAAGTTTCTTCTTTTTGGTGAAGTAAATATCTCCCACTGCTTCTTCTTCAGATTCAGATCCTTTTATACTCTTTATACTCCACTCTTAACAAGTAAGAACAGTACACTAAACGCGTAAATGTCTTGCCTTTGAGTTAAAATAAACATTCCAAGTTGGCAATGTCCAATTCGGAGCAGCGTTAGATTACGTAATCCACCGTGTGCTACATGCAGAGGATTAGTAAAGATACACGTGGCGCGATCTCAACGGTAAGGAGAGTGTCGGTGGAGACAAGAAATGCGACGCGCATCAGACCCAATACTGTGGACGAGTGGGACCAATGCATCGTAAGTCGCTGGTGATTTTATACATAAGATTTAATTTGCATGATGCTATTTGATTTTGATCAGTGGTATAGTCATTAGTGGGAATGGGACAGCACAAGAGTAGAACTTTTCAACGAGTAATTTGGTTTTAGTCCACTACCGGATGAATACTGTTGTGGTGTCTAATTACCAAAGTTAAATAAGAGTTTACAGTTAATTAATTAACTCAATCTTTGAAAAGAGAGTAAAGTTTTTCTCTTTGGCAACGAAAAACGGTTCGGTTTTATGAAAAGGAAAAATAAAATCAAAAACCAAAGGTTACCCAAATCTAACCGACCCAATGAAAACTAGAGAATAAGATAAGAAAGAGATTCAAGATTATGTTTTGTGGGGAACTTTTATGAGAAGATAGAATCGAAGATGAAAATCGAGAAAAGAAAACAAGCACCACATGTTGAGATTCTTTCTTAAGAAGTCCCAAATATTCATCTCTGTCTCTTTCACTCTTCCACTACCATCTGCAATTAATTTCTCTCATAGACCAGAAACCCACCAGAAGAAGCTTCAGTACAGTTAGAGATGGCTTCACTTACTTCGATCGCCACGCCTTATCGCAGCTCTAGTTATCCATCTTCATCGCAGGCTTTGCGAGTGAATTACGCAAGAAACACTCTTTTCTCTGCCGGAGTTAGATCTCCTGCTACGACTTCATCATCGCCTCTGACGATCAGAAGCGCTTCAACCAAACCGAAACCAGCAGGTATACAACTCGTAGAGCGAGAGCTTCCTGTGTATCGTTTTTTGAAATGTGAAAGTTCCGTTAGATTAAATGCTCTTCTTCTTCCTCTGCTTGTGTCTCTTGGAGGGATTAGCTGAAGTCGATTGGAGACAGAAGAGAGAGCTTCTCTTGGAGAAAAGGGTATGCAGCACATTATGATCATCAAGTTTCTACTCTTGATAAATTGCTCAAAGTATGAGACTTTGTACATGTAAATGTAACAGAGGAGGTTTTGTTTAGCTAAGCTTAGCTTAGTTTTTTGTTGTAGGTGAGAAGTGTGGACGTGAAGGAAGCTCTACGGTTACAGAAAGAGAACAACTTTGTGATTCTTGATGTAAGACCAGAGGCAGAGTACAAGGAAGTGAGTATATTTATAATGCTCTCTTGTAAGTTCTGATGGCAAAGTCATGTGAGTGACGACATGTGTTTCTTATGAAAGGGTCATCCTCCAGGAGCTATCAATGTGGAAATGTACAGACTGATAAGAGAATGGACAGCATGGGACATAGCTCGCCGTCTTGGATTTGCTTTCTTCGGTATCTTCTCTGGCACAGAAGAGAATCCTGAGTTTCTTCAGAGTATGTACTCAAATCAGATCAAAAGCTTTGGACCGTTGGATCCAGCAGCAGCTGAATGTTTTTTGGTGACAATGTTGCAGGTGTAGAAGCTAAACTTGACAAAGAGGCGAAGATAATAGTAGCTTGTTCATCAGCAGGCACAATGAAGCCGACTCAGAATCTCCCTGAAGGCCAACAATCAAGGTAATATCAAAAACTCTCTGCAGAAACTTTGTCTGATTTTGTTTCAATGCTCATATGGTTAGTGTTCCTGCAGGTCACTCATAGCTGCTTATCTTCTGGTCCTCAACGGCTTTAAGAACGTGTTTCACCTTGAAGGTGGGATCTACGCATGGAGCAAGGAAGGCCTTCCTGTCGAAACTGAAGAAGAAGACTAACGAACTTTTTCACTTTCTAGAGTTATCCAGTTTTGTATATCTGTGGTAGTTGCATTTAGAGCTTTGGCTTTTCAGAGTGTTTAAAAGGGTTTGTAAAAAACTCCAGACTTTACCATGAAATCAACCAACCTCCATCGGAATACAGACAAAAGGAACTAAACAAATACCGTTAAAATCTAACTCCCAAATAACAATCTGAATACACAAAGTCTAAGGCTTTACAAAAGGTTTCAAAGGGACCTTTGCGAATCCTTATTGTCATCAGGATGATGTGTCTTCCTGCAACCTGTACAACGTGATTTCTTGCTGCTTGAAGTATCGGCGATCCTCTTCGTCTACCAGCACAAGATTCAGGTAATACTTGACGCTGAATTTGTTGTTAATGTTGCGATGCGTTGGTGTAAGGTCGTATGGGGCTAGGAACAGTCTTACCGGTATCGATTCACCTGCAAATCTCTTCACTCAGTTATTCAATTTTCTTCAAAGCAATCACTTATAACATCAGGTTCTCAAAATCTTGGGCATATATATATATATATACCTCTAACGGGAGTTCCATCCATCAACTCAAATTTCGCAAGTGTTTCTGTCTCGACATGAGTGTTAGCACCTGCACCTGTTGATTCCCGTCGTCTGATCTCAAGATCCATATTCTTCATCTTGATTCTCACAAGAAGGAAATATATCTTCCCAAGGATGACATCGTTAAGGTGATACCTGCATCCAGAAGCATATAAGATCCCTTGTTATTTCCTGATCAGTCCGGCAAATACTAAAATCATGATACAAATTGTTTTCTTACTTGCTTTTATTGTACTCAAATTCGATGTGCAGGCAATCCTCAATTCCAACTTCCATCTGTAGAACAAGTCAATTGGTGCTATGAATTAAGCCTTAGTTTTGTATGAGCCTATTGACTACTCTATGAAAAGGAAGGAAAAAGGAACTCAACATATAAAAGGTCCAAGCGGAAGAAGATTTAATATCATAACTCATAAGTGATGGTACTAAGAGCCTAGAAATTGAGAATGGAACTGGTCGAGGTTTTAGGTGTTTTCGAAATTTGCTACAGTTCCTATCTCTTTTTCTTATAAAGTTTCAAACTTGGATCATATCACAATCAGAGCTCACCTTGATGCTGTTATTAATTTCAGGAAGTGGAGCGTAGTTTCGGACCTGTTTCAGACGACATCAACAAAATGTTAAATGGAACAAGTCATAGCACAGTTCTGCTATATTGGAACAATGACACTCAGCAAAAAGGAAGAAACATACCATAAACTCCTGGTGTTCCAAGATGCTTCCAGCGTAGCCACGAGTGAGGGTTACTTTGAGGACATATCTGAAGAGACAATGAACGCAGTAAATTTGTGTTAGAAAATGTATTGAGGAACACAAGTGTTTTAACCTCATGAGAAAAAAAGAATCATATGATATATACCTTAGCCGCACATTCACACCATTGTATGTCTCATATGGCATTTCAACAGTAGGAAACTCAAAAGGGTATGTCTTTCTTTCGTATATATCTCCAGGGACATCCAGTTCACGAACTGGTAAAAGGCAAAACGTAAAACAGAATCACAGCAAGTACAATTGGCTCAATCAATATTATCTAACAGGGTTGAACATGAAAGTAAATTCATGGTAATCGATGATTCAAGTCACCTCGTGACTATTTAGAACAAAAAAAAAAACGAAATCCTGAGACTTACTCACCTAAGGAAGTGAAGTCATAAAAGTTTCCTCTGTCAAAGTACATTTCTGTTGAGAACACAAATGACATCAATAAATATAAGTTAGAAACCAGATAACTAATCCCTTAAGACTCTTTTGGTGGTAGTTGATGTACAGGTCATGGCAATTACACACCTATTTGACCAAGAAGCTCAACTTTTACACCATTATGCTCCACCTTTTTCCCTTGATATGGTTCAATGCAAACCTAATCAAGACGTTGAGGACAAATTACTTTAAAACCCTCACAAGATCATAATTGGAAAGAGCTGAAATTCATCTAGAAACAAGAAACCAAGTACCTTCCCGGAAATAGTCTCTTGACTATGGAAAAGTGGCACCATAGCTGTTTGACCATTTTCTTTCTTCATGGGAACCTAGGCAAACAATGGAGATTGAAAATACGAATAAGTAAATCTGAAACGTGACTCAATCATAAATAATGGGTCCGAGTGATTTATAAGCCATCAAAATTTGGTACAAATGAGAGAAACCAGCAAAATAGATACCTGTTTACGGTTTTTGCCATCAGAAAAAGCGATTGAAATGTTGCACGCAGGCTTGAAGGCTCCACGAAGAAAATTCTGTGACATTTTAACCCAAACAAGCTATAAGCATTTACTCCACAAGCTTGTGTTTCAGACGCAGCAACACCAAGGCAAATACGTAGTGATTAAGAGCACTTACCATGATCTGAAGACTTAGATCCCAATCACAATAACCTATTCAATTCGACAAAGGAACCAAAATCAGCGACATTACACAGAATGCGTACGCTTTTAAAGCTAGAGGTGATTCAGATTCTGGAATGATATGGAGAGATAGAACTCAAATTTACGATTCAGCTAAGAGAAAACGAAACAGGACTCGATTCGATAAAGAGGGAAAGCAAATCGGTCAGATCAGCTGAGACACCATGATAACACCCAAATTGCAACAACACTTACCCTCCGAGTGGAAATGAAGAGTGAAGAATCGACTGAATCTGATATTTGGATTGGAGAAGAAGATTGACAGAAACAAAAATAGAGAAAGAAATAAAAAGGAAGGAACTTTATTCTAGTTGACTATTCGAGCCCAGTCAACAAAGCCCAGAATGTTTAAATCTGAGATTATTAGGCTAAATAAAAATCAGATTTTTAATTTTCTTCAAACACAATTCGATTTCGATCAACATTAATGGCGATCATGTGAAGTGAAGAAAGAGTTTAACACTAATATAACCCATGAAGTGACAACAATGGCCAATATATGAACAAGAGAGAGCAGAAGATCAAGCCTTTAAGAGCAATAAAATGATCCTACTAAAAACGGAAAAGTATTACAGAAGAGAGAGTGAAATGTGGCTAAAACTCCAAACTTTTCCAAATGAAACCAGAACATTTATAAAAGATGATCCGGAAAATTCATCAGGACTCTTCTTCAGGATCTCGCTGCCATGAATCCTGAGAATCTGACTGAAGGTTAATGATCTGAGAAACTAAAAGCTTCGAGATTCCACTTATCGCTGCTTGGACCTCATCTGGTTCCCTTGAGCCTCTCAATCCAGAGTACTCTCCTGCTGCAACTTGTGTCTTCTTCGACGTCGCAAGAACCTTCTCCAAATCCAACTGTGACAATGGCCTCGGATCCTACAAAATGTAAGCAAACTCACAAACATCAACACAACTCTCAAAATCTGGCCTTTGATCATGTTTTTTCTCCATTTTAAAACTTACCGGACAAGGTCTTCCCTTTCTCTCTTCCTCTAGGATTTCTCTGATAGGGAAGTAAGCTGCTTTCTTGCAGAGCTCGAAGATGTCTGATCCTGTGTAGCCTTCGCATAAGCGAGCCACTTGATCAAAGTCAATACCCGGTTCCACTCTCTCTCCTTTCAGAGTCACTTTCAATATCTCAGCTCTCTCCCGCCGGTCAGGCATTCCAATCTCAAAGGCCTGAGGAAGACGCCTCAGTATCGCTTCATCAAGCTCTGATGGTCTGTTAGTCGCAGCAAGAACCATAACCCTCGCGTTCGCTACAAATCAGCAATCAATAAACTCATAAAGAAACCATATCCATGCTGCATGTTAAACTAAGAGATGAGAGGTGAAAAAATTCAACTTACGGTCAGTAGAAAATCCATCCCATAAGGCCATGAACTCAGTCTTCATGTTCGCCATTGCTTCATGATCTGTTGAACGGCGCTGACCAAGAAAGCTATCAACTTCATCAATAAAGATGATCGCTGGTTGGAGTTTGTACGCCAAGCTAAATACAGCAGAAACTGAAACAAAGGTAACAGAACAGAGCAGCTCATAGTTTAGAAACGCCATTAAAGCACTAATTGGGATAATAACTAACAAAGTTGAACAATTTCGTTGAACAATGTGAACTTGAACATAAAGACGGCTCAAAGTTAATTACTTTGTGAACTTACCAAGCTTTTGAGCATCTCCAAACCACTTGCTCATGAGATTTGAGACACGAACGTTAATGAAGACGGCTCCTGATTCTTTGGCAATAGCCTTGGCAAGCATAGTCTTACCAGTACCAGGAGGACCATAGAGCAAGACACCCTTTTGAGGTCCAAGCAGCTTCCCATAAGCGAAAAGCTCAGGTCTCTTCAACGGTAGAATCACAAGCTCGTACAAAGCCTGCTTGATTGACTCCAATCCTCCAATCGAACCAAATTCAACTTCAATGTGATCTGGATTGATCACATCACACGCAATTACATCCTGTTTCACAGAATTAGTAACAAGTGAGCTATTTTCTCCAACTCCTTCATTGAGCTCGTGCACAACAATTGGTAATACAGAGACTAATACTCATCAATGTTAGAAGTTAAACCATATAATCCCAATTTGTGATAACGAAGAGCCATTTGGGAATCAAGATTGGGGAATTCAATTTGATTTTACCTCGTATGGATTGGTGTGAATAAGAGGACGACCCAAACGCTTGGAGATTTCCTTCTTTTGCTCGAGAGCTTTTTTAGCCGCCTCGCGATTAGGGTCGAGATGCCGGAGACTCGCAAACAGAACCAAGCAGCTGAAAGCAGCGCTCGCCGCGTAAAGTATGAGTTCTTGTAGGATCTTCGTCTCTGACGAGCCACCCATTTCTCTTCCAAAAACAAATCCTTTCAATTACAGAGGATCGCAAATTAAAAAAAAAAAAAAAAAAAAAAGCCCTAAATAGCTCAGAAATTAGGGCTCATCAGATGGAAAGTGTAAACCCGAGGAGGATAAGTTTGCAGAAGACGGAGATTTTTTTCCTCTTCTTGCGGACGACGACAGAGTTTTTTGTTCTCGAATGCCTTGAGGATTGAGGAAAAGATAAACTAAAATTACCGAAATAACCTCAGCTGCACCGTCGTAAGTCGTAAAAACCAGTCAAGAAGGGCCCTTGAAGGCCTTAAACATAATAATCTGCTTTAAAAGTTAAAACCCAATCAGTGACACTGTTCGGTGTCCTCTTTACATTTTTCCAATTTTCTGGAAAAAAAGGCTTGCTTTCACATCGCTTCGTCTGGTTTGGATTCTAAAAAGGGTGAGTTTTTTCTTCTCTTTTTCTTGGAAGTTCGTAGATCAGAATTAAGTAGTAGTAGTCTAGTAGAAGCGATTGATAAACCCAATGTAGCAACTTTTAGGTAAATTTCTAAACTGGAATTGGAAATTAGCTATTTTGGGGCATGAACTAGACTCGTGCTCGCCTGAATTAGCTGTTTTTTTTCTTTTCCGTTGTGAATGTGTTTTATAAAATTTTGAGAATCTTACAGTTTGTGTTTCTCATCAAAGGTTTGATTTTTATGTTTTTTGCAGGCGTGAGAAAGGTGTTATACTGTGTCTCTAATGGCTACAGATTGGATCAGCAATCTCCCAGATGATGTTCTTGGCAAAATCCTGTCTTTAGTTCCGACAAAACTTGCTGCTTCGACCGCTGTTCTGTCCAAGAGGTGGAGGAATTTGCTTCCTCTGGCTCTACTTGACAGCCTTGACTTTGATGACTCGATGCTTATTTATCCCGACAGGGATGACGGAGAAGAAGAAGAAGCAACGATTCGTGAAAGAAGACGACACCTCTTCTCCGATTTCGTGGACAAGACGCTTGCTCTCTTAAGCAATTCTGCTCGCATCAAGAGATTCTCTCTGAACTGTGAGGACGAGGATGACGAATCTCGTGTCAATCGCTGGATCCGCACAGCTCTGGAACGTGGCTGCTTGGATCTCAACTTAGCTCTCGAGACTGATCTCCCTATAGACTCTGAGTTCTTCACGAGCAAAGCACTGGTCAAGCTCTCAATCTCCCGCGGATTCTATACTGGAGATAGTCTTCCTTGTGGTGGTGTGCTCTTCCCTGCGCTCAAAACACTTTCTCTCGTTTCGACATCGTTTGACTATACTGGCTTCATCCATGGCTGCCCCGCGCTAGAGGAGCTATTCATGCATGAATGGAGGAAGCACTTCTCGTGTCCACACGTCAAGCGGTTAACCATCACTTATCCTTTTGTTTACTTCTGCCGTAAGTCTAGAGTTAGTCTAAAGACACCGAGTCTTGTGTACCTTGATTACGCTGGTTTCGTCGCTAGAAAATATTCTGTTGCTTTGGATTCGCTTGTGGAAGCTAGGCTGGACATACGGTTATATGACCCGCCAAGAGTCCCTGGTACGGATGAATATTATGGAGATGTTACGAGTTTAATTCAGGGGATGAGCAACATCCAGAGCCTCCACTTGTCATCTCATTCTCTTGAGGTTAGCTTTGCTGCTTCTTCTTCTTCTACTTCTCTCTTAGTGTTAGTGCTTGCAAGATCGCTCACATGAATTGATAATGGTTTGTATCAGGTGTTTTACCATTGTTGTGATTCCATGCCGGTGCTCAACAAGCTCCTTACTTTGTCTATCGAGAGTGACGACGAAAAAGGCTGGCAAGCAATGCCACGTCTGCTCAAGAGCTCCCCAAATCTACAGACTTTAGTCATCAAGGTATCAAATTTGTTTTCTCTCTTGCAATTTTATGCATGCCTAACAAATTGATGCTGTGGTTTGTTTATTGGTGGGGTCCTCAGGGTCTTACGCACAGATTTGTTTATTGGGGAACTTGTATGCTGTTTGTCGAGGAGGGAGTATGCAGTTTGTCGAGGTGTCGAGTGAAGGTGCTAGAGATTTCAGGGTACGGAGGAAGTCTTAGAGAGCTGAAACAGCTGGGGAATTTCTTGGGGAAGTTGGAATGTCTTGAAACTGTGAGAGTTGGTGTTGATGAAGAGGACAATAACAAGTTTTTGCGAGATCCTCTAATGGCTCTCCCCAGAGTCTCACCAAAATGCAAGATTCTGATTCTTCCGTTGTAGCTGAGATTTGATGGCATGAGTGTATTGTATGGATTATATATGATTAAGTTATGTGACAATTTATAGTTTAAAAATGAGAATTTGTGTCTGCACTTGTTGTGAAGTGAGTTTTTGCCTTGAGGATTGAGGATATGAGCTATTGAAATTACCCAAATTGAGGATATTGCTTTGTGTGAGTCACAAATATACATAGAATCAAGGTCATGTGATAGTTTAAAACAACCAAATAAGGTTCGTACGTCAAGTGAATCATAATCACTAGTTTTTTTTATTACGTTGAGATGTATGAGCTTTCAACTCAATTCCAACTCAAAACCTTATGAAAATTGTTATGTTTTTCTAGATCTTCAGTTATATGAGTCCCCAAATATCAATAACTAGATTAAGGCCCGCGTATACGCGGGTATATTTTAAGATTTTATAATAAAAGCATGGAAAATATTAAACAAAATTTGATCATTTTTAAACGTAAACAAAATAATATTGAAAACCCGATAAAAATATTTAAATAAAATAAGATTGGTAATACTTTTACATTTTTATTGTAATTGATTTTTCTTTTGAATTTATGATATGACAAAATGAATTAATTTGTTTTACTATTATTTTTATCCAATACAGAAAGACTTACACATGTCTAAATCTGATCAACTGATTAATTAATCAAACTTTTATTATTCCATTCAAGAGATTTTAATTGATGAAATCTTTATTTCAATTTTTTTACCTAACAAAAATTGAAAATCAAACTATTTAAAATTAGAATATCAATTATAATTTTTTAATATTAGTTAATTGCTTGATAATTATTTTGTTAGTTTTCTATTTATATTTTTTCTTTCTCAATTTTTTTTTGCCTCAGACCATTATAAATACTATATATTGGTATTTTTCCTTTTCGAAATGGATTTTTTTTCCTTTTCTTAATAGATGTAACAAAAGAATTTAAATTATTTGTTTCCTGTTTTTTTATTACTTTTAATGGATATTATTTTTTCATTTTAATTATTTGTTATCTGTTTTTCTAATTTTTAGTTAGTCTTATACATATTAATTTTTTTTTTTTCCATGACACATGTTACGATCTTCATACTGTTAAAACAATGTTTTTGTCAGTTATAAAAATCCTATGTATCGCAAAACTTTCAAAAACATGATTTTTAAATTGGAGAAATATAATCAAAGGGATTTGATGAATTTATGATTGAGAAATCTTGACTCTCTTTTATAGGGGTTCAAGTAACCTATTACATGCAGTTATAGGAAATTTAGTTTACATAACATATTCCATGTACAAATAGGATTTTATTTATTACATTATTTTGATTTTATTATTTGTTTGGATAATATTAATTTGATGAATGGGAAACCTTTCTCTATTAGGATATGACAAATATATTTTTATTTCTTTTAACTGTAATGGATTAATTTTTTAAAAACAATTTCCTTTATCTAAATTTTTTATTATTATTTTTTTTCTTTTTTTTTTCTAAGACATGTGTCACGATCTTAACGGACGTAACATTAAAAGTGACACATGTCGCGATCTTATAAATTATAAAAATCCTATGTGTCGCAACCACGTCGTGCGCATCCAACTTTATATAATAAAAAATTGATGAATGAGAAACCTTTTTCTGTTTGGATATAACAAATATTATTTTTTCCTTTTTGATATAATATATTAAATTAAATTTCGTTTTTTTTAATTAACATTTTTCTGGAATTTTTTTTTTAAGTTCTCTTTTTTTCCTAAGACACATGTCACGATCTTAACGGACATAAACTTAAAAGTGACACATGTCGCGATCCTGAATTTTATAAAAATCCTACGTGTCGCAACCACGTCGTGCGCATCCAGCTTTATATAATAAGATCATGATAAAAGCCCAGATTAGTAAGGTGTTAGAAAATCTACTCACCAGAATTTTTAACGGGTGAGAATTGACGACATGGCCCAATAGAACGGCTGAGATTCTCTGCCGAAAAAAAAAATTGTGAATAATGGAGCCCAATAATTCGAATATGATGATTCTGGAAAATATGAGAAAAGGCTAGGACAAACCAAAAACCAAAAACCAAAAAAACAAATGGATAGGAACACAAGACTCAAGAAACTTCGAATCAAATCTTCAACCTTCAAGATCTCTCTTTATGTTTCTTTTGCCATCTTCTCATCTCTCATCTCTCATCTCACATCTCATTTATATATATGTTACATACGTACCCTCAGAAACTCAAATCAACTCAAACTACTATTTTCGTAATCTATTTCTCAGCAAATATTTTTGGCTCATTTTATCATCTTTAAACCAATGGCTTCCACACTCTCGTTCGCATCGGCTCTACGTTCACCTCTCGCTCCATCCCCATCACACTTATCCAAATCCAGTTCACCGTTTTCGGTTGCGTTTCCACGGACGAGTCCTGGTCGGATCAGAGCTCAAGACCAGAGAGAAAACTCCATTGATGTCGTTCACCAAGAACAAAAAGGGAACCAAGGATCTAGTGTTGAGAAAAGACCTCAACGCTTAGCCATGGACGTTTCTCCTTTCGGTACGTTTAACTTAACCAATCGAACCTTATAGCTTGCACAACACGAAACTCTTTTCTCAGCTTTTTTTTACTTAATACATTGCTTTGTTTTGCTTATCATAACGACAGGATTGTTGGATCCTCTGTCACCAATGAGGACAATGCGACAAATGCTGGACACGATGGACAGAATGTTCGAGGATACTATGATTGTCCCAGGAAGAAATAGAGGAGGAGGAGGAAGTGGAGCTTCGGAGATTCGTGCGCCATGGGACATCAAAGAGGAAGAACACGAGATCAAGATGCGTTTCGACATGCCTGGTCTCTCCAAAGAAGACGTCAGAATCTCTGTCGAAGATAACGTGCTTGTGATCAGAGGAGAACAGAAGAAAGAAGACGAGAATGATTCTTGGTCTGGCAAAAGCGTTAGCTCTTACGGCACAAGGCTTCAGCTCCCGGACAACTGCGAGAAGGACAAGATCAAAGCTGAGCTCAAGAACGGTGTCCTTCTTATCAGTATTCCTAAGACCAAAGTCGAACGCAAAGTCATCGATGTCCAGATTCAGTGAGAATCCATTAATTAACGTTTTCTCCTGTTTTTCTTTCTCCGGAGCTGTTTGTTGTACATAGTTACATAAGCCTCTCTTTGTCTATGTAATTTAACGTGTGATATAAGTAAAAACAATAACAAGGAGAAGACACGAAAAGTCAACTTGATTTTTTTTCTTCTAATTAAAGTAAAGGAAGTGTTCTGTTTATCCATTAATCCCATTAAGTAATGTCGCAATCAGTACACCACAATGGAAGTCAAGTGCAACGACTAGGATTCTGTTTTTACATGTAAACCAGATGTCTGATACAGTTAAGACTAAGAACCAATCATTGAAAATCTTTAATTATAACTAAATCCAGTCCATTTATATAACTAAAAATAAAGTATAGAGTCCTACAGTCCAGGCAACATTGAATGTTCTATTTTGTACATTTTTATGCTCTTCGTGACGCGTTGAGCTAACTATTTGAGACAATTTCATTGACGTATGATTAGAGATTAGAGAGTCACAATCTTCAATCCATACATTATCTAAGATGCATATTAATCGATTATTTTGAATACATGTGAAAAACAACGTGAAGCTCTAGTCCAACATGTTATTATGGCAAAATATATAGTATACGAGAAAACTTCAACGTTCACCCAAAAGAAAGTCAACAAAACGAAAAAACTTGTCACAACAAAAAAAAGAAAAAGAAGAAGAAGAAAAGAAAGCAACGACAAAACATAAAGGAACAAGAAAGGTTGAAGTGATCAAAGCATCTTGTGGAATTCCATGATGTAAGTGCCAAAAACGTTGCAAATGACTTGGAAGCCTTTGAAACCAACTCTTCTTGCCAAAGACTCAAACTCCTCTCCCGTTCGCTCTCTGCCACCGGCGGTGTGAGCCATCATGATGCAGTCCAAGTGAACTACTTGTTTAGTCAAGAGGCTCGTGTCTGGTGCTACCGGGACTATGCACTCCACGACTATCACTTTTCCGTTTTCTGGAAGCGCTTCGTAACAGTTCTTCAACAATTTCAAGCAATGTTCATCGCTCCAGTCATGACACACCCACTGAAAAATAAAACATAATTCAACATTAATAATCATATCAAGACATGCATCTAGTCATCTAGAACTAATGATTGATGCAACCATATATGACTTATGTAATTGAACTTTTAATTTTTTTAAATGTTTTCATTAATTTGCTAACCTTAAGGAAGATGGCATCTCCTTTGGGAACACTAACAAACATATCTCCTTTAACATGTTCAATACCTGCATGGATCGTGGAAGAAACCCCCATTTTCTTATAAATCGTTCGTAAATAGAGAAGTTACCTAAAAAAATGTTATGAGGCGTATAAATAACAAAGATGTACCTGTTAGAGGTGGAGCATTCTCAATGACATGAGAGAGATCGAAGTTGATTCCTGTAATGTTTGGGTACTGGGAAACAATCATGTGAAGTAAGGCTCCAATTCCACCGCCAACATCGACTACAGAGGATAATCCTTCGAAGCCCTTGTAGACCTCAAGAATCTTCTTCATCACGATGGTCGAGTGGTTAGACATTCCATTGTTAAACACAGTTGCAAATCTCTGGTCTTTCCCGTGGTACACGAATGTGGGCATACCGTATCCCTTATCGAATGGGATCCCGCCTTCAAGCACTGCATCCTTCAAATGGTACCTATATACACAGTTTCATATTGTTATTTTAATGGTAAGCAAAAATACATAAAGGTTTCTATAGGGTTGTATACTTACCAGCTTTCCATGAGGACTCTATCTTGGTTTAAAAGAACGTGAGTGGCAAGAGAAACACCATCCTCGTTGTTAGTCAAGTACTTGCAGACAGTGTCAAGTCCATAGAGACGCTCTGCGCCGCCATCAGGTAGTTTACGGACAGAGCAAGTCAGTATGGCGTGTGACGCAAGCAGACGGAGGATCCGGTCAAGCATGAGGTGTGCATCAGGGTTCTTGGTTGGGAGATGAGAAGCTAACTCCGAAGGAGACATTTGAGCGCCAGAGAAGCCACCGTTCTTGGCCATGATCTCGAGCAAGTCGAGCTCTATGGCTGATTTCAGAACCATGGGAAGCACCGACGAGCTGCCAAGCTGCATGGCGTAGAGGCTAGCCTCCTCGTCGCTGGAAATTTGCTTTATGGGAGTCAACAGAGAGTTTGTGAATGATCCCATGATGTTCTAAGAAGTTCTTTTTTTTTCTTTTTGTGTGTTAAATGTCTGAAAAGGTATTTGTGATATGAGAATTGAAGCTAAGCTAGTCGTCATATATATAGGGGAAATTAACTGGGAAAACAAAAAGGTGGCTCTTTGCTTTTAGGAAGGATCCTCTTAGAAAAAAATATATGTATATGTTAATGCAAACGCCAAAAAATGTTGAATTCAACCATCGTTGGGTGCCAAATAAAAAGTGTCGTGTGTATAATAAATGTGTGTGTTTGAGTATACTAAAAGAAATATATATTTTTTATATATAAAACTAAAAAATAAATCTTTTGATACGTGAAACTCCAAATTTTTATATTTGCTTGTCAACTATTATATATTTTTTATATATGTTAATCTTTCTATATCTTTCTATGATGATTATAAGTTTTTTCTTTTTCCATTTTCCGGTTGATTTTAGACTTTTAGTGAACCTTTTTGTAACTTGGGATAACTTAAAATAGTTTAGTTCTTTAACTAGAAAAGCTTAAGAGAACGTAAGAAAATTTGCTACACCTAAAACCACGCACTCTCAAAAGCGACATAAAGGAAAATTCAACGAATGCAATCGACCGATGTGATGTCATGAAACTATACTAATTAAATCGCCTTTCATTGACAAATTAGCTTTCGTCCATGTAATTGTCATTGACGAATGGGCTGCTGAGTCCAATATTAAACACAAGGGAGAGACATTGATGCATGTGGTATTGTTTGGACTTTGAATTCAACAACAGTAATTACTTCCTCTTTGGTAATGATGGTACGACCGCTTCGTAACGAACTAACGTTAGCAACGTACCATATAAGTGATATTTTAACACACACGCAATATCTCTTTTGTCAATTGATGCTAGAGACAATTACAAAAGTATACAACTCTTGACAACGTTGTAGGTGAACTAGTTTGGGATAATAATGGTATTACCGAGTCAGAGTGGCTTGTGCTGAACAAATCACGTGTTTAAAAAATAAACTTGAAACCAAGTGGAATATATCAGCGATGGTTGGTATTTTTTGGCGTCTGTCTAAGGTGGTTCCACCTCAGTTTAGTCTTTGATTGCATGTATGTTAGCTGGTCTTAAGTAAATATAAAGAAAGGAGTTGTCCAAAAAAAAAAAAAAAGTAAATATAAAGATAATTGTTTCCATCCAAAACTTGTTGGTCCTCGATCGATCTCTTCTGTTGTTATTGTTCAATACTTGGAAAATTAAGTCTATACATTTAAATTAATTTCACCTAAATGTTCAAATAAAATCGAAAAAAAAACTTTCAAAAATAAGTTCAAAAAAATATCATACACAGGAATATAGGAAATTTGTGGAAATATTCTAAAAGGTGTTGTGTTTTTGAAATTCAACACCCTAACTTCTTTAAACTTTATGATACTTTAATTTACCAAATTAATCAATCCTTAACAACAAATTAATATAAACCCAAACGTGTACCTTTTGAATTTTAAGTGGCTCTGACCAGTTCCGTACCTTTTGAATTTTTTGATGTAAGAGATTACCGAACTTGGTCTTTTTTGTCGAAACTCCTGCGTAGAAAAGTCGCAAGTAAACTATCATGAGTATTACTTCAAATACTAATTGACAGTGTTACTAAATAAAATAATGATATTTATTAAATAATATTAGCCAGAGCGGACCGATAGTAACTCTCTTTTAAAAAGAAATTATTAAACGAAAGATTGTATAGATCAATTGAGTTAGTTGTGTAGTTAATTTCATATATGGCTGCTAGCTGTAAATCTTTATTTAGATTTGTATTTTGATAAACCATGGCTGCTATAGTTTTCTATGTATAAATGTTTTTAGATGAACCATGGCTGCTATAGTTTTCTATGAACCATGGCTGCTATAGTTTTCTATGTATAAATGTTTTTTGATGAACCATGGCTGCTATAGTTTTCTATGTATAAAAGGTCAAATTTTAAAACTTTTTGTTTGACCTCACTATGATAGTTTCTTTTTGCCGATAGACTCGTGATTTAGTGGTTGGGCAAGGCGCAAAACTTGCATTCGTCCCGAAATTGTATCCTACTGAAAATAACAACACATATGTGCATGGTTAGACGGAGCTGGTCCAAATTAGGGCCTAGCTAGTTGAAAACCTTGTAGATATGATGTTTCGGTCTTCCTGTTCATTCTAGAATTAGTCGGCTTCGTCCAGATCACCTAATTGACAAAAAAAACAAGAAAATCATAAGTCATAATGTACAACGTTAGTTTAGTAATATATTGATATAAATTCAGACTATTTTCTTTAAAAGGATAGAAAATTCAACTATGTTGAGGAAATAATCGGCTGTTGATGTCATCTCTCCATTTAACAATATTTACAATCAAAAGGACAAATGTACGGTTCCGTCGAAACACTCATGATGACGAATTAAGTACAGTAGTAGTACTAGTACACACATCATGTTTTTCAAAAGAGAAACCATACGAAAAACGGAAATATACATATATTAATCATTTTATAGCCCTGTCATGTATTTTCCAAGTACAGGGAAGACGTCAAAACTGGGAAAATCAATTCGATCCTTCATTGATTGCTTTTCTAGTCTGTTCATTTCATAATGCATGCTTGACGACGGGATTTATAAATCACCAATATTTTTTTTTCTAATCGTCACCAACAGTTTCTTACATGCATGGTTTATCCAAAAATGGCCGATCCTAAGGAAAACAAAAATAACAATTAAAGCAGCCTTTTGGACCGTATACATATGTATGTTTCATAACAATGTTGGGAAAAAATTGATGATATAAAACTATATTTAATTGTCAAATGAGTCTAGTATATATATAGGCACAAAGAACAAACTTTAAATCAATTTTCAATATTCATATAAGCACCGAAATTACATTTACAAAGAAACGTATTTCCCAACAACATCACAAACAACTTATACTAACGACGATAGTGTCCTCACAAAGATACAAGGTATATGCAGAACAAGGTAACGTTGGAAATGTAGAAAAATATTTGGAAGCAAAAGGAAAACGAGAAGAAAATGTTCCATGGTTATCTGTACATATACTCAATTCATATATTCTTGAGGAATTCCATGATGTGGGTACCATAGGCTCTGCAGACAACTTGGAAGCCTTGAAAGCCTGAGTCTTTGGCCAGGGCCTCAAACTCTTTCTCAGTCCGTTCTTTGCCGCCAGGGTTGTGAGCCAACATGAGACAGTCCATGTGGACAACTTCTTTTGTCAGGAGGCTTGAGTCTGGCACCACCGGAAGTATAGATTCGGCCACTATCACTTTTCCGTTGTCTGGGAGTGCTTCATAGCAGTTCGTCAGGAACTTCAAACAGTGTTGGTCGCTCCAATCATGACATATCCACTGTCACATCACACATGCATGTGGGACATGTTAAAAACCAATTGCTTGAGAGACACATTCTTATTAAACTTGTTGCAAAGAATCATATACTATATAGTTTACTAACCTTCATGAAGATAGCATCTGCTTTAGGGACATTCACAAACATATCTCCGCCAACATGTTCAATACCTAAATCATTCATTAAAACTCAAACTAAGACATTGAAATGTCCATGGAAACATTATCGCCGAATTAGCAAAAAGAGAAATGTATATACCGGGATAGGATACAGCTTCCTCGATGACATGAGAGAGATCGTAAAGGATGCCTTTGATGTGTGGATGCTTGGAGACAATCATACGGAGAGTGACTCCAATGCCCCCACCAACATCTACCAACGAATTCAAACCCTCAAAGCCCTTGTAGGTCTCTAGAATCTTTGTCATGACAATGGTCGTGTGGTTCGACATTCCATTGTTGAACACTTTGTTGAATCTTGGGTCGGCCCCTTGGTACTCGAAAGCGTCCATGCCAAATGCCTTGTTGAATGGAATCCCACCTTCAAGAACTGCATCTTTCAAATGGTACCTGCAAGATCATATCACCATATATAAACTTGTTACTGAGTCAGAGTGTATTATTACAAGTTAGAATTATGAAAGGTGACAACAATTTACCAGCTCTCCATGAAGACCCTGTCTCTGTTCAAATGACAGAGTGCAGCGAGTGACACTCCATCTTCGTTCCTAGTCAGGTACTTGCACACCGGTCCTAGTCCGTACAGACGCTCTACACTGCCATCTGGAAGCTTACGTACAGAGCATGTCAAGATGGAGTAAGCCGCAAGCAACCTGAGGATTCTGTCGACCATGACTGGAGCAGCAGGGTTCTTGGTCGGAAGATGCGAGGCTATCTCGGTCGCCGACAGTTGACCTCCAGAGAGAGCGACGTTCTTGGATATGATCTCGAGAAGGTCGAGCTCCAACGCCGATGTCAGAACCATTGGAAGCACCGTTGCACCGGCTAGCTGCATGGCAAAGAGGTTGGCCTCTTCGTCGGATATTTTAGCCGGAATGATCTGTGTTTCAGCCAAAGATCCCATTATCACTCTGTTTTTGGATTGCTACTCTCTTTTCTTTTAATTGTTTTGGTCTCTGGCTTGAGAATGATGTGATGACTGGTGAGTGAGAATTAGAGTTGAAAGGATCTCTATTTATACTAAGTAGGTAGCATATATTCGATTCTTAACAACATGGAGCTTGAATATTGTAATTGATGGATTAAATATTCGTACTTTGTAGTTTGGTCGCTTCTTTAATCACCCAATTGATGTATAAAACACATATTAACAATCAATAAAATACTGTATATTACATAAAACAAATGCAAAGATATATTTGATAATTAGTAAAGGTAAAGGAGAGGGAAAGGCATGGCTCATGCAACATTAGTTGGTGTGATTCGGACCGCAAGTGTGTTGTTTAAGTAGCTCATATTATCTTAAGGCTTCAAATTATTTAATTGTGTTTTTGACTGAATTCGTCTGCTGTGCTCTAATAATTGGGCTTATCTTAGGGCCCATTTATTCACCAAACGGATCTTAGGCCTTACCAATTGCAATTCGCTTTATTTTGAATGAAAATAAATTAAAATAATTATTTTCGAAAAGAAATCGAATCGCCATCGCTTCTTCTCAAATCTCAAAGTGGAGAGTGGAGGCGCAGCAACGGTCACTTTGCAATCTCTCTCAAGAAAAAAGATCGAAACTTTTACAGTCGAAAAAAGGAAGAAAATGGTGATTAAGCGAAAAGAAACTGTGGAGATAACACCGGATCCATGGGAGACGAAGAAGAAGAGCAAGACCAAGAGGAGAAAGAAACTCACGAAGGAGGAGGAAAAAGAAGAAGAAGAAGACGAAGGGACACCTATCAGAGCTATATTCTGTCTAAAAACAAAACAGGATATGAAGATTTTCGAGGAGAAAGAGGATTGCTTTATCCTCGATTTCGATCCCAACGACTCATTTGACGCACGGAAACACTCCTTCTCCGATAACCCTGAAAGCGATGATAACGATGTTGCGGTCATACACGAGAAAGGCCAGGTTTGATTATAAAGAACTCTTTTTGAGTGCTTTGAATTTCTGTAAAGTTTGGGCCTTTTCGCACAATTACTGATTTAGGGTTTGGATCTATTGAATTTTTTCTGGAATTTTGATGGAATTTGGTGTTTCAGGTTGCTTGTAGGGATTATCCACATCCGAGGCATCTCTGCTCTAAATTCCCATTTGGATCAACTCTGCACAAAACACATTGTGATAAGGTAAAATTTTCTTGTTTTGAAGTTTCGGCCTTTATAGATGTTGTTGTTGAAAATGTGGATGGATTTGATAATATCATCTGGCTCAGATACTCAAGTGTGCCTAACTTTTGTTTTGATGGCTGTGTGTGTGTGTGTGTATGTGTAGTGTTACTGTTATGTCTGCGATGTGGCGGCGCCTTGTGCTCAGTGGACGTATTTAGGGCATTGTGAGGCATTAGAGAACGGAAGGTGGAAGCATTTACGAGATACACACCGGAATCTTACTTCTCTCCGTCAAACCACCACCAAGTAAAAGTCTTTTTTCGTCAGTGGAGTGTGAGATTGGTGAGTAGGAAGGAGAGTGAAGACTGTAATAACGTTCATTCTTCAGCTGAAATATTTGAGTTTGTTATCTAGCTGTTTAGATTTCAAATTGAGACATGTTGTTAACATTCACCAATCCGACATTTTCATGACTGTGATTCAATGACTATTGCTGCAGGGACAACTCTTGTTGTTCCTTTTTCGATTTCGTTTTGTCTTTTTTAACTTTAATCGCATAAATTAAAATTCAGAATCTAATGAATGAGAAACTCAGAAGTTTGCGAGAGCAGATGTGTACTCGCTAAGTAGCTCAAGCAAAGATCACTGTTGGAAAAATTGAGCAGAAGCCAAGTATGCAACGAATGTTCTCCGTGTGATATTCTAATTAGAGAATCGGAAAGTTCTTGTGGAATGGAATTGTCGTAGGAGATGGTGTTGGTGTTGACTAGATTCTTCTCTTTCGCCGTATTTCAGTGTTTTTCATCCGCGTGGACGGTACGGCTAATGGTGTTATTAGAGAAAGGAAGTGTAAATTTGATTTTGTGCGATATCAAGTTATCAACTAGTCAACGGTTGCTTGGTTCTAGAATCTCCAGCAAGTCAAAAATGAACTAATTGACAATGATGTTGTTCTTTTAGGACACCAACCAGTGGAAATTATTTAGATAATGTGTGTCCATAAAGTCTTGGTTCTAGGATATAAAAGAGGTCATATAAAAGACAAAGAACAAAATGTATAGTGATATGACGACTGTAGTGAAAAACTGAGAATACGAGATACTCTTGGGTAAAGCAATAGTTGAGGACAAAAAAGGAGAGAATCTATTAAAACTAGAGAGAAGTATACAATAAGAAAAAGAAAATGAGAGTGATGTAGGGAAATTCAGTAAATCTGAGAGAAAATGATGTGAGCGTAATCTTGTAATTGCACAAAAAAAAACTTTGTAATTTGAAATTTTTATTTGAGACAAATTTACCCAAACTACAAACGCAAACGCAAGTGACTGAAACTGACGTTCAGGATTTGCAAAAATAAAGTAAGATATTTAAAAATTTGCTGAAGATAATTGTTTTGAAATAATTCTCAGAATCGAGTTTGTTAAACATAAAAAAATATTTTTCCATGTTAAAAACTATTTTTTTCTCGTAAAATCGTGCGTGGTGCAATTTCAACATACGAAGCTAAGAAAATTAAATACCAATACCAATTGTTATCAATCATTTACAATCATAATCAACTACTCTCTTGCAATAAATGGTGCCAATAAATAGTAATACTAGTTGTAGCGAATGCGAATCAATGAGACGATAATTTAAGATGAAAATACCCAATTTAGTTGTGTTTGACCCTTTTCGAATCTGAATTGGATTTGTTAATTTGTGATCAAATTATTCTAGTACTAGTAATCAACATTTGATTATACTTAAAACCAAAAAAAAAACACTTAATTATATGTTTAAACATAATGTAATCAAATAAATAACCAATGGCAACCGACTGATAAGGTGGGTCCGCATATGAATGGCTGAAACCATGACGCGATTTATCTCATTTCATGACGGCGGCCAAACTACGTGTGATGTGAACTGTCCCTTTATAGTTATCATATTCCTACCGTTCATAGTTCGCCTCGTTGATTTGAAAATTATGTTTACCAGTCTTAATTTTTCCCTAAACAACAATTGTCTTTGTTTCATAATTGCAGATTAGGAGGAAGAAAACAAGGTAATGAATTAACAAGAACCACAATTCATAAAGGCCTAAATATATAGAGACACGTCTGCCGTCTGCAAGTAGTTAAAGTTTAACAATAGTACCCAAAAAAAAAAGTTTGATGTGTCTTATTCAAAAAATATAAAAGTTTGATGTGTGCGTTTCTGTCTCTAAAAATCCATACACTTCGCTTTGGACTCCCCCCATCCATCCACCTAACCTTCCTTTTCTCCTTCAATTTTCTCAATATCTCTCTCCGATATGTTTACATCACTAGTGCTATCAAACGTTGACACATTTTATCAATTACATTAATTTATATAGAATAAAATTAAATCGTCTCGTATGGTAGTTGGTTTTTTTCAATTATATGAGAATAGTGGAATTGACTGGCCACATCAACTGTGGAAATAAACCACATACGTCAATTTTTAAGATACTTGCGGATCTACTTAAAGACTGATGATGATGAAAATAATGGTCCATAATCATCAAATAAAGACAATAAGCCTGACATATCGAGTTCCATAAATGTTCTCTCCCAACTCGTTTGTGGATAATAGCTACCTGACGAGCGAAGTTCTTGCTTCTATCCAACTCCATCTAAATCTTTTTTTTTTTTTAAGTTTTTAATCAAATTCAGTCTATAACATTTGTTATTCTGTACCATCATATTCTACGACTAAAATGATAATTAATTAGAGAAACCGAAAGATAATTTTTCAAACTTGAGATGGCAAAATGTCAACATTTCTTAATACAAATAAAATACAACGAGCGGAAAAGTTTTGGATGGTGTTAAATATGAATTGGTGTTTTCCAGCTACATTACTTTTGCAGGCTGTTGAAAGTTTTTGATAAAAAATGTAAAATGAAGTTCAACCACAAAAGTCTATTTCTTTTGTATACAGAAATAAAAGCTATGAATTTGAGTATTGGACGATCAAATTGCATATCAATGTACCAAGAGATGACCCTTTTTCCATTTGATCTTATGCTTTGGATGTAAAAGCATAGTGTTGAAGTTTGCTATTGCGATTTCAGTTTTGTAATTCCGGTTTAGTTAACCAAACCATTTGATTAATTATTAAATGAAACGGAATACGTGCACTAAACAGTGTAATACAAAACGCTGTTTTCTTTGCTCTCTCTATCTAAGTACTGTATGTGTTTTGGAATTAAGAAGCTAAAACAGAAAAGTTAAAACCATAACCTCTAATTATAATTCGATATATAATCTTACAAAGCTCTGAGCGATTCAAAATCCAGAGAAACAGAGAGGCACACTCGGGAAACAAAAAAGTCTCGGCCGTTACAATCACATAACCGAACCGGAGACATAACAAAATTGAGATCTAAAAAAAAGATCGTTGCGTGCGCGCAGATCAGAAATCGACGAGATGAGAAGAGAAATCTGGAATCGGCGAAGATCTAGTTGGACAAGGCAGAGAGAAACCGCCAATCCGCACGACGTCTCCGTCGCCTGGCCGTCTCGGAAGAATCCCGGCGGTGAGTTTAGCTATCGCCGACGTGTACTCCACAAGCAGCTCAGTGATGATTACAACAGAGATCATGATTTTTAATTAAAATAATTCAACAGTTCTCGCCGGAGAAGAAGAAGAAAAGGATCTAGAAATTTCCGGAGTCGCTTATCTCTTAAGAAAATTTTGTGTTGGAATTATGAAAAAGTACCAATATAAATGTATATAGGCGATACAATTTAAGCTCGACCATGAGTCACTCAAATGGTACACGTATTTCCTTTTTAAAATTTAATTTATTTTTTTGTTTGTTAATGTAATAAGCCGCGTGTCACGCCTTGTAGACAAGAGTCCGCAGTGTTGGCGAGAAGACAAGATACTCGGTGGTTACATTTTGTTATTTTTTTACAAAACCAAAACATGTTTGATAAATTATGGATCAAAATAGTTCTCTACGTAGTTGGTTTGTTTTTGGAGCCTTGTATGACAAATTTGTTTTGCTATCCTATAAAAGTTGAAATGTTTATCGACTGGTTCACATTCAAAACATCAAACCGCATGTGAATTATTATTATTTTTGTTTATGTCGTGTGAAATGTTTTGAAAAGAAACCACCGGTTAGTTGAAATGGAATAATATCAGTATGAACTTAATAAAATAATAATATTAAAAAAGCACAAACATATTGTAGTATTCTGGAAGCTGGAAGATCAATGAATACATCTGTAAATTTTCGTAGATAATGCATCGATGACGGCCCACGTATCGAAAGGTGGACATGGACTCATAGATGACTGACGGTCGCAAAAAAGTTTATGTGCTGTTTTAAAGAAATTTCAACAACTACACAATTTGCGCAAAATGTTAATTCAATGAGTGTTTTTTTGTTCTGGTTAATCTGTTTCACTATAAGCTACTGATCCTCATCCAGGAGAAATGAGACCATCATTGGTTGGGAAAAATTATGAATATGACATATTGAAATGAATGATCATATATCAGAAATTTAGAAAAGCAGGAAGACCAAGATATCAATATCTTCACCTTAAAACCAAAAAAAAAGAGATATCAATATCGTAATTTCTATTTATATCATCATTCTTCGATAAAGGTTTACAAATCTCTAACCTCTCCAACATCCGAAACGTGGAAACAAACAAATGCTCAGCTGTCACTCATAAACTCGGGAAAAAAAAAAAAAAAATATCATCGATGATGCGTAAAGAGATCAAAAATCCACGAGATGCGCGGAGAAGTCTGGAACCGGTGACGATCTAGGAGGACAATAGATGGAGAAACCACCAATCCGTACGAAGTTTCCGTCGCCTTGCCGCCTAGGAAGAATCCCGGCGGTGAGTTTAGCGAGAGCCGTCGTGTACTCCACAAGTAGCTCAGCAATAATTACGATGGATATCATGATCAATGATAGTGGAAGATTAAGCCGGAGAAGAATGATGATCAAGAAGTCTCTTCACTTCTAACTTGTATGCTCTTTCAGAAACAAATTGGAATATTGGAGCTATGAGTTGTGTGAATGAGAGAACTCTTATCTGTTTATATAGAAGTAGTCAAGTAGACCATTTAAGAAGACAAAGTATCTCCACTGTGTTGGTCGTACTCGGACTCGTGTTTCATATATTTTAATATCTTCTCTTTGACAAGGAAATTATAATCAAATGAAGCGCGTCTTAGTTGACGCGCACTAAACATCATCGAATTATTAAAATGTGTTATTTACTGTTCCATATAACTCAGCGCATACATCATTGATTCACTGTCAAGAAAACTACACTTATAGATTTTATTAATTTTTTAGACTATCACATCTTCACAACTCGATTTTCTTGTGAAAATCATCAGAAGACTAATGTTATGTATTCAATTGAGTTGGTCCTTTTCAGTAAACGATTTGTTTTATTTTTGAATTATATTACTTTATTAATAGTTACTATCTGTCTATCTATCATCTTATACATCTTTAACAAATGTTGGCTAGATGTTTATGTATAACCATCATATCACCGGGGAAAAAATAGCAAGTAAAATTTTGAAAACTACCAAACTAGCCGTGGAGGTCATTAGCTTTACGTAAACATTGTTGTATCAATGTAGTTAAGACTTACATTTTCCAGCTATAAAAATCGAAACATTGTTATAATAAGGATTTTTCCTTTTGCAGTTTTTCGTGTGTGTGTGTGTGTGTATGTATTCGCATGAAACGTGGTAAATATGCCTGGTCCAAACCATGTTTCCTCAAAAAGTATACATGTTTCAATAGTCCTTGTTTCAAACAAATTATTGAACCCCCCTTCAAGTGATGAAAAGCCTAACGTCTCCACCTTCCAATGAAAGATGGACAAGTTTTCCGTGATTTCCGATCTCGAATGTATGTTTTATATGAAAATGCTTTTCATTCACGTCTGGAAACAAGACGGGACAGAAACAAATTTTTCTCTGTATGATTATGTTATTTTCCCCCATAGACAATAGATGATAGTGTTGATTTGTTCGTCAAGACAAACTTGGCTAATAAAGACATAAAGATGTTATTTTCCATCGCTTCGAAAACACATAAGTTTAGTTATATATTGTCTAATGTTATGGAAACCTGATTAACATTCTACTTTTTTGTTAATATATCTCAACATTTTTGGAACATGTTAGTAGCTACTGAAAATTCCCATCCATTCATGTACCATAATTTAAATGAGACAAAAATGATACATGAATCTGTCTGGAAGTTTTTGTTTCTGTCTTGTTGTTACAATATTCCATTTGACTACTCTTACTTTTCAGTGTTTAACATGTTATAATTTCAGACTAATAGGAATGGTAAAAGTTCTTGTCACTTCCTGTTGTTATAGAAGAATGTTCCATTAATTTTAAATTATAGTCGTTTTCAATCGCCCGACTCTCTTCATATAGGCCAAAACTGACTTTAGCACCAAATTATTTATAATTTCTGGTTTCTAATTCGTGGACCAAATCAGTTGAACATTCAGAGTGGGAAGTTAAATTAACGAACTTATATGTACAGTCATGTGCGACTTATATCGAGTACTGTATGAAAATATACTTTTCTATCTAACTCTTGGAATTTCGTCATCAGGTAAAATGGCCGAGAAATTGAGGAGCGCAGTGAGAGATAAAGAGTTCATGAAAATTATAAAAAATCTCTATTATATTTCGATACAGATTTACAAAGCTCTAAGCGATTCTAAATCCTGAGGAAGAAGATAGACAGCGAGAGACACTCGGGGAAAATAGTCTCAAGCCAGTCAACTCTTCGATTAGATCAAAAAGAGGAGCAAAATCCGAATCAAAATCTCTAGAAGAAAAGTCGTCGCAGATCAGAAATCGACCAGATGAGAAGAATAGTCCGGGAACGGTGACGATCTACTCGTACTCGACGGAGAAGGCAATGAGAAACCACCGATCCGTACGACGTTACCGTCTCCTTGCCGTCTCGGAAGAATCCCGGCTGTGAGTTTCGCTATAGCCGCCGTGTACTCCACCAATAGCTCAGCGATGATTACGACGGAGATCATGATTAGTTTTTTGGCGGAGGGATTCAGAGGAGAAGAAGGATCTAGAAGAAGTCTCTGATCTCTCTTAGAGCTGCGATTGTACTTTTGGTTGTATTACTTGTAAGAAAGAGAGACATGTTTATGTCTTTATATAGAGCTGAAGAAAGAAGAGTTTCTTTTTCTTACACGGACTCGTGTTAAGTTTTTAAATATTTTTTTAACTAAAAAGGAGTAAATTAACCGTGTCGTACGCGTACAACTTGAGTTTAGCTGTCTCTGACTATCTCTCTCTAACCTAACGATTATAAAATTAGTTTTTTTAATCTACTAATGTGAACGCCGCAAAATACATCGTTGTCAAGAATACTTCACTTGATGTCTATCTTTCTTGAATAAGTACATTTAGAAATTAGAATGTACATATGTAGATATGGAAATTATTTTATAAAAATGTAGATATATCTGACAAATCTGCGATGGATCTTTGTTGTTCGTATAAGACTGCAAGTATATGGTATATGTATTTTGTTTGAGGTTTAGTTGCACTTAAAAATGAAAACAAAATCAATAATGAAGAATTTACTAGTAATATTTGATTCGTGCTCTAATCATTGGTTTGCCATATGATTGTAGGTAACGAATATATATGTAGATTTAACTAATTCTACGGGAATCAAATATTTTGTCCTGATTCTCCCAGTGGAGGAGATCTTGTAATCTATTAACAACAAGAGTATCATTTATGAAAAAAATATATATATATATATATATATATTAATGGATAATATATAAATTTCGTGTTCACAACTTGGCTGCTGTTATATAGTCGCATAATAGTTAAATATTTATACTATCAAATCATATAAGTTAGGCACTCTTCAATTTGATCTTGTAGTCGATAATCGATTGTAAGTATGTAACAATCTGAATGAAATCATTGTAAATTAGTCTTTGACATAGTCTTTGATGACACACATCTAGCGGAGTGCCACAATATTGATTTTCTCAAAGTACCTAGCTAAGCTTGTTTTGATATTTAAAAAAAAAAAAAAATTTCAACAGCTTTAAAAAATATATAAAAACGTATTTGTGCCGGTAAAATAATAACTAGCTGTAGAAAAGCCTTTTGATTAGTTAACTTGTCAACATCAAAAGACGACATGGCCATCTAAGACCAATTTATGTCACACCCTGATAAATTACTCCTACAAGAAGTCTCTATGCAGTTGTTTATTGCCAGTGAAGTGGATCACGTTAGGTCTATAAATGTGAAAATGAAATTAAAAGTATATTGATGCCGATGGGGACGTACTTACTTATCACAATGCCGTCCAGGCGACGACCATCATCTCCAATTACCATCAGCCGAAAAATTTATATTGATTTATCTCTCATCTTTGAAATTTTATTTGGAACTTATCCTATATGTGGGACTTCTATGTTACTTTTGGCATTTTTTTCCATTGGCCACTGACTTTTAAACAAGGGTACCCCTTTAAACAAACAGCTTACCAGCTCAAAGGATACTATTAAGACAGTATTAACCCAAGTTCAGTGTATCTTTATTTATTTTATTTTTATGTGCATTCGAATGTTTCTGAAAAATATATTTCTACAAACTGATTATTTCAAAAGATATTTTACCTTTTCAGCTCTCTGAACTCTTCTATTTTTTTTTTCCAACTACTGTATTCTTTTTAATCCTGTTTGATTTGAGGTTTACATTTTTTTTTTAGGTCAACTTTTTTGTCTAAAAACTTTGACAAATTAATTTCCATCATATACGAATCGAGAAATTATTACTAAACCCATGTATTAAAATACGCCTGTCCTAATCTAGTGAAATATAAAATTCGATTATACAAGTTCAAGTGCTTTTTTGACCTTTCATAGCTGCGAATCGAAACTGCGTCTCTCTACGATTGAATCTCTCCGTCTCCCTTTGAAATTCGTGGTCTTTTTCATTCAGACTTGTAACCACGAACGAATCCAGGTTCTAGCCGGAGCCGGAGCTGTTACCATCTGCAACAGGTTTGTATATCTCTCTTACTTCACCGTTTGCTTCGTCGATTTACCAATTCCTCTGCATCGGCGCTTTTTTTTTATCCCTATCTGGTTGTTTTGTTACAATTCCATTGAAATTCTGTTGACCTGAGTACCAAAAAAACCACAACTTTTCCGAGACTTGTATTAATCTCTGTTCCCTATATCTTTCTAGACTCTCTTAGTGGACATACCATTCAAAGCCGGAGAGAATGAAGATTGTTCACAGAGATTTTGTTCGTAATGGACCCGGAAGCATTAAGGTTTGATTGATTCCTTACTCATATGGGAATTATCTTCCTGCTCATGTCTCAATTGCTTTGCTCAATTTTGTTTTTCATTTTTTGGTGTTTTGCTACTTAATTTGAGGGTAGATGGTGGCGGAGGACTCTGATGATCTCTGGTATGCTTATAATCTGATTGCCACCGGTGATAGTGTAATGGCTGTCACCTTCAGGTACAGCATCCTTTCAGCTCTCACACTGCCTTTCTTGCTTTCATGGTGTTGCTCTTGTAACTTATTGAGCCACTTTCTTTGAAGAGCGACCCAATAATCCTTTTCTTTCTCACTAGAATCATGTATCACATTAGAAGTTTACTGTTTTGAAAGAATGTCATGAAAATCGATAGTGATTATGCAAGAAGCGAGCAGTTAGTTTACAGTCAAGCAAGGAGTTATAGTTTGCCATTTGTTGGAAGTCGTTCACCATTTCAATTTTTGTTACTTTGCTTGGTATCAGAAAGGTTCAGAGAGACCTACCTGGTGGGGGAAGAGACTCTGAACGTGTTAGACTGAAGCTGGAAGTACAAGTTGAGGTAATGTTGTTAAGGTTAAGGGATTGGTATGCAAATTTGTTCATACAATGCTTAATTTCGCAATGACCATATATGCACTCTATTGCTTTACATTCATTTGCGTAATACCATCCATATTGCTTACATATGTTGCCTTTTTTGGTTCTCTTTGGCCCTTTGGTCCTAGTGATTTTGCCAGTGGGTGATATCATCGTCTACTTTCATGTTCTGATCGTCTTCAACGTTTCTTTCTTTATTCAATTAGGACGTGGACTATGACAAAGATGGAGGTGTTTTGCGGATACGTGGGAAGAATACTCTGGAGAATGAGCACGTTAAGGTAGATTCAAAGCTGAGCTTTTACCGTATAATTTTTTTGTACTGAAGCTTTTGTTGTATTGCAGATTGGCGCATTCCATACCTTGGAGCTTGAGCTGAAACGACCTTTTGTATTGAGAAAGGTAGATTCTCCCGAAGTTCTGTTATAATTCTACCTTTAAGTGTAGCTTTATCCTTTTCTTTTGTGTGTGAAATCTTCGTTTTTGTTATCAGTAATGCTAACATTGCTAATTTGCAGGTAGTGTGGGACTCGTTGGCTCTTGAGACAATCAAGCAGGCCGCAGGTATGCTGCTCTATTTATTCGACCTCCTAATTTAAATTAGTGTTTTGAGTATGCCGTGTGCTTTGATCTCATGTTATCTACCATTTTTTTCCTTTCGGTTTCAAATTTACTCTACCTTTTTCTTTTCTTGCTTAGATCCTGCTGCCAGTGCTGATCTAGCTATAGTTCTAATGCAAGAAGGACTTGGACAAATCTTCCTTGTCGGCAGAAGGTACTGATTGCATGCAGCTGATAGGGTCCATTGCCTGTGAAATTTGTTAATACTCTAATTTGTGTGTTTGACGTCATCCATTTCTACTTTGGCTGAAGAAATATGAAAGGAGTCATAGAAAATCATCTATTTCTGTTATTGATTACTTTATTGTTTGATGTTTGGCAGTGTGACAAGTAGCCGTGCACGAGTAGAGACATCAATTCCTAGAAAGCATGGGCCTGCAATTGCTGGTTACGAGTCTGTATGTTCCTGGTTCCACTGTTTTCTTATATATATACTTGCTCAGAACTATGGTTGATGGAAATTCTCTGATATTATCCCTTCAATTTTTTCTTTATCTGTAGGCTTTGAAGAAATTCTTTGAGAATGTTTTGCAGGTTTGTTTTAGTTATCGGATCATGCATGCTTGATATGATTGTTTTCTAATAAATACCACAAAAAGCATACCTGAATCTAACACATTCTCTATTGGAATATCACAGGCCTTTCTGAAATATGTTGACTTCAGTGTCGTTCGCTGTGCGGTGATCGCAAGTCCCGGCTTTACAAAGGTTTTTTTTCTTGTCTCTAATCTGGCAACGTTACTTATTGTTTAAATTGCAGCTGGACAAGTGTAAAGCGCTTCCAAGGGTTACAGATTTCTCATACATGAGCTTTTTGATTGTTTTTTTATCTTCAGGATCAGTTTCATCGTCACTTACTACTGGAAGCAGAAAGAAGACAGCTGAGACCTATTATTGAGAACAAATCACGTATAATTCTGGTGCACACAAACTCTGGATATAGGTATTGTTTTGCTTGTTCACTTCTGTAAAGCCTGTTATTATGTTCATGGTAATTTTCTTTTGAAATCTAACAATATATTTTGGTGCACAGACATAGCCTTGGAGAGGTTCTGAATGCTCCAAACGTGATGAATATGATCAAAGATACTAAAGCAGCAAAAGAGGTGATCTGAAATTGTCAATTAGCTAATACATTACCATTGTGTTCACTTTTTCATAACTTATGCTCCATGTTTCTGTATCTGTTTCTCACCTGTTTGATGTGAATTTCCCTCTTTGCAGGTCAAAGCTCTCAACGATTTCCGCGACATGCTTTCAAGTGTAAGGCTCTTTTGCAATGGAAACAAAGATTCTCATCCGTTTTAGAATATTAATTTCAAAGCTTATTTTGGTTTATTTATATAATCCAGGATCCACATCGGGCATGCTATGGACCAAAACATGTGGAAGTCGCTAATGAACGAATGGCAGTCCAAATACTTCTCATCACGGATGAGCTATTCAGGTTTAGTAATAGAAAGCGAATTACCAAAATCTTAATTCGAGTTTTGTATATCTATGAGAGGCAAATTGTGACAACTGACGTATATAAATGTTGGTCCAGGAATTCTGACGTAAAAACGAGGAAGAAGTATGTGGATTTGGTGGAGTCGGTGAAGAATTCAGGAGGAGAAGCTTTCATATTTTCGTCCATGCATGTTTCAGGGGAACGTGAGTGTAGCATTTCTTCTTACTTCTGGTTTTGATCACTTGTGACTTTTTTGAGCCAAACACTTGATAATTCGTTGTTGATGAAATTGCAGAATTGGCACAGCTCACTGGAATTGCAGCTCTGCTCAGGTTCCCTTTACCAGACCTCGATGACATTGAGATGTAAAAAACATCTTCTTCTATAGCAAAAAAAAAAAAAGAGAAATCTTATAGGTCTCATATACAACAACTTCAGTTATGTTTTTGTAGTCTGTCTTCCTATATACCTACCTAAAGAGAGATTTTATTATATTTCACAGCCCTACTTCAAACTTCAAAGATTACTATTAGTTACTATTTTTCATATATGTATACAATTCTTTTTCATCTTGGATATATAGAGGATATTCAAATCAATCACCTAAATCTACAGTAAAACTTGCTATTTGTATCATCAGTACCAGTGTTTCCCGACATCAACTTTTCAAAGTCAAACTTTACTACCAAAAATAAGATACCGACCAATAGAAAGGTCAAATTATCACGAACCTTAAAAAAATCTCATCTCTGGTAAAAGTAAAACCGAAGCAAAGCAAAAACCCTCGCAAATTAATAAAAGGGAGAAAAAAAATTAGAAAAGAAAAACCCTATTCGCTAATACTCCCACAACTCCAGCGAGCAGCCTCTGTCTGCTTCGGGAAGATCAATCAAACTATGGCGCAATCTCTCGAGCTTCTGTTGATCCAATTCCTTATGCCGGACAACGATGCTCGGCGGCAAGCGGAGGATCAGATCAAGCGTCTTGCCAAGGATCCTCAGGTTGTTCCCGCCCTCGTCCAGCACCTCCGCACCGCCAAAACGCCCAACGTCCGCCAGCTCGCCGCCGTCCTCCTCCGCAAAAGGATCACCGGACATTGGGCTAAGCTTACTCCGCAGCTCAAGCAGTACGTTAAGCAGTCCTTAATCGAGAGCATCACTGTCGAGAATAGGTTTCTCTTACTTCCTCCATCTCTCTCACTCATTTTACTTTCTCTCACTTGTTTCAATTGGGATTTGAAAGTTTCCTTTTTTCAATTGAATTTTCTTGCAGTCCACCGGTGAGGCGTGCGAGTGCCAATGTTGTTAGTGTGGTAGCCAAGTACGCTGTTCCAGCTGGAGAGTGGCCTGACTTATTAACATTTCTCTTCCAATGTAGCCAGAGTGCTCAAGAAGACCATCGCGAAGTAATCTCTCCGTCACATTGTCGTTTATTTGATCGATTTGATTGACGTTTAGTCCTCTTTATGTAAATCTGTTTCGTTGTTTGTAGGTGGCGTTGATCCTTTTCAGCTCTTTGACAGAAACGATTGGGAACACATTCAGGCCATACTTTGCAGACTTGCAAGCTCTTCTTCTCAAGTGCATGCAGGACGAAAGCAGCAGCCGAGTCAGAGTCGCCGCTCTCAAGTAATTTCATTTCTCTGAATTGAATTGAATCGATTGTTGCTCTTCTCTTGAATCTTAGCTCTATTGCTTACAAATTTCTGCAATTTTATCAGGGCGGTCGGTTCGTTTCTTGAATTCACAAACGATGGGGAGGATGTGGTAAGTCTAGCGACGCTCTCTTTCTTGTTTCATGTTATAGAGATGTCAAAATGTCGAAATTCTTTCCATTTTTCTAGTTTAAAAGACAGATATGGATCATTTATATCAGGTAAAGTTCCGAGATTTCATTCCGAGCATATTGAATGTATCAAGAAAATGTATTGCATCTGGTGAGGAGGATGTTGCTATACTCGCTTTTGAGATTTTTGATGAGCTGATTGAGTCTCCTGCTCCTCTTCTTGGAGACTCTGTCAAATCAATCGTGGAGTTCTCTCTTGAAGTCTCTTGTAATCAGACCCTGGAGAGTAGCACACGGCACCAGGTTAGGAGAATTACTCTCTTTTTATTTGAAAAAGATTTGAACTTTGAGCGATGATGTTATGAGGAGTCCTTATGCCTTGCTCCATTCTTTGACCAGGCAATCCAAATAGTCTCATGGTTGGCAAAGTACAAATACAATTCCCTCAAAAAGCATCAGCTAGTCGTACCGATTTTGAAAGTTATGTGCGCCTTACTCGCCGAGTCGTCTGATCAAGAGGACGATGATGATCTTGCTCCTGATCGTGCAGCTGCTGAAGTTATTGACACACTAGCTATGACTATTCCGAAGCATGTATTCAACCCTGTTTCCGAATTTGCTTCCGTGCATAGTCAGAGTCCGAACCCGAAGTATCGGGAAGCTGCTGTTACAGCTCTAGGTGTTATATCAGAAGGTTGCTTTGACATTATGAAAGATAAGCTGGATCCTGTTCTTAATATAGTCTTGGGAGCTTTAAGAGACCCTGAGCAAATGGTTCGAGGGGCTGCGTCATTTGCACTTGGCCAATTCGCTGAGCATCTTCAGCCTGAAATCCTGACTCACTATCAGAGTGTTCTTCCGTGTGTATTGAATGCGATTGAAGATACATCTGAGGAAGTGAAGGTAAAATTCAAAGGAAGGACTAGTGAAGTATTATGTGAAGATGCACATTTCTGTCATGATAATATGAAAGACTAGTTTATTAGTAACATTTCTTGTTATTGATTACAGGAGAAGTCATACTATGCTTTAGCATCATTCTGTGAGAATATGGGAGAGGAGATTGTTGTTTACCTTGATCCTTTAATGAGGCAGCTCATGGCAGCCCTCGGAAACAGTCCGCGTAATCTGCAAGAGACGTGCATGGTACACCGACAATCTTTGCTAGAGTTTCTGTAGAATTTGTATCTGAAATATTTGATCTGAGCTTCGTTGCTACTTGCTTGCAGTCTGCAATTGGGTCAGTTGCTGCTGCTGCAGAGCAAGCATTCAATCCATATGCTGAGAGGGTTTTAGAGTCGATGAAGTTTTTCATGGTGCTCACCAATGACGAAGATCTTCGTGCCCGTGCAAGGTCTACTGAGCTTGTAGGGATCGTCGCAATGTCTGTTGGGAGAAAAGGAATGGAGGCCATCTTGCCACCTTTCATTGATGCCGCAATATCAGTAATTGCCTTTCTGCTCTGTATCTTTGAACTAAACATGTCATTTATGGAAGAAAATGCTCACGATCACAAAATTTCAGGGATTTGGATTGGAGTTCAGTGAGCTGCGAGAGTATACTCATGGATTCTTCAGCAACATAGCTGAAATATTGGATGACTCTTTTGCCCAGGTGTGGATAGATTTCTTTCAAATAGACTTTATAACAGCTTTGACTCCATTGACTTTTGTTAAAGTTAATAAAAGCATTTTTTTTGCAGTATTTACCTCGCGTTATGCCGTTAGTATTTGCTTCTTGCAATCTTGATGATGGGTCTGCGGTCAACATTGATGAGTCAGACGATGAAAATGTTAACGATTTTGGTGGGGTATCCTCTGATGATGAAGCTCATGATGAGCCCAGAATTCGGAACATAAGCGTAAGAACAGGAGTTTTGGATGAAAAGGCAGCTGCAACTCAAGCTCTTGGCCTGTTTGCTCTCCACACTAAATCTTCTTTTGCACCGTATCCTTCAACTTTCCCTTAACACTTTATCATTTTTTGGACTTATTACAAGAATCCTTTCGTCATGCCTCCTTAACTAACTTATTAGCTACCTCGAGGAATCATTGAAGATTATGGATAAACATTCGGGATATTTCCATGAAGATGTTCGGCTTCAAGCAATCACTGGTTTGAAACGTGAGTTTTCTATCTATTGATTATTTGATTTCTTGGCTTCTTGCTCCATTTGTTGTCACTGTTTTTACTGCCCCGGGACTATGCCAACACATACTACTTCATCCATAACCTGTGGACCTCTTCCCAGGGAGGGTACATAGCAGTAGTTTAGTGAACGTTGTTTACTTGGCACGTAGCTTCGTTCTATAATATTGTGCAATCAGCAACAGGCCTAACAATTGCTTGACAGTTGGGCATATGAATGATGTGCCATTTTTCCTTCTTGCCGCCAACATGTGATCAATTGTCTAGGCCCTTTGCTTTTGCACTTTCATGTTCACTCAATTTTGTTAGAAATGTGCAACTCACCGGATCTGATAGTATTTATAAGCTCCTGTAATCTATGGGTTAGACTTGATAATAATGGTAGTATTAGAGCTTGTCATTCTGTTTTGAGTCTTTAAGCTTATACCTCTTTTATCTGTTGGAATTGCAGATATATTGGCCGCAGCACATGCTATCTTCCAGAATCATAATGTAAGGGAATTGTGATCATGAATATCTCTATCTTTCTCACCTTCTCTGTCCTCCCCTCCCAACCTTTTGAATTGCCAGCCTTTAATATCATGTTTGGTTCTTATGTAGGATGGAACTGGGAAGGCAAATGAAATTCTTGGTAATCCATATTACACAGAATTTCTTTCTTTTCATTAATAATAAGAAGATATTGAAACAGTTTTTGTCCACTGCAGATACAGTTATGAATACATATATTAAAACCATGGCTGAAGATGACGACAAGGAGGTTGTTGCTCAGGCTTGCATGAGTATAGCGGACATCATGAAGGATTATGGTTACGTAGCCATTCAAAATTGTGGGTGTCTATTCTTGCTAGAGTCAAATTTTATCAAAAACTATTTCAGGATATTCATTTTTTTGTATATTTGTATACTGTGCTGATGAGTGATGACGTTGGTTTCTAGATTTATCACCCCTTGTTGATGCGACATTGCTACTGCTGACGGAGAAAGCAGCTTGCCAACAATTAGAAGATGAAAGTGATGATGACGACGATGGTGGACATGATGAGGTCCTCATGGATGCAGTTTCTGACCTCCTTCCCGCTTTTGCAAAGTGTATGGGGTCTCATTTTGAACCTGTCTTTGCAAAATTCTTTGAGCCGTTGATGAAATTTGCGGTGAGTATTAGTAATTACAGCATTCATTGCCATAACTTCTTTCACTGAAATTTAGGCCCTTACTGTTTCACTACTTGCGCCTGTAGAAAGCCTCACGTCCCCCACAGGATAGGACAATGGTAGTTGCTAGTCTTGCTGAAGTTGCTCAAGACATGGGTGCTCCAATCTCTGCCTATGTTGATGTGATCTTCCTCGTCTTATGTCCTCTATGACTCGTTTCTTAGTGTTTGAGCTGTACTAAAACCAACCGTTGGGAAAATTTCTTGCAGAGGTTAATGCCCT